TTTTTTTTTTATTCTGGGCCAGCTTTAGCTCTGGCTCTAGCTCTGAGGCTTCCGCTGCTGGTTCTATAATCGAAACAATGTATAACTCCAGCTCTGAGATCCCGGCCGGCTGAAAGTGTTACAAAGTTTCAAACTGCCAGCTCAGAGGCTGGCAGCGCAGGCGGGGAACGTTGGAGTCTGCAGTCACTGAAGCAAGCCTCACGTTCGCTTCCAGCTGCCTGGCTGCCAGCCGCCATCTTGGCTGACAGTTAATTTGCATATAGTCACTGATTAGCCAATGAAAAGGGTAGCGGTGGTACGCCAATTACCATGTTTCTCTTTTATTAGTGTAGATATGCTTCTCTCTCCTAAAAATGCTACTTAATCACATTTGCAAATGTGCATAGGTAGAGTAGAGGTACTAGAATTTTGATATTATAATGATACTAGAGGCCCGGTGCACAAATTTGTGCATGGGTGGGGTCCCTCGGCCTGGCCAGCGATTGAGGCCTATCAGGGGCCGGCCAGGCAGGGGGAGGGGTTTGGAGAGGAGCTGCAGGAAGTTGGCTGGCATGGGAGGTTGGCTGTGGGAGCGCACTGACCACTAGGGGGCAGCTCCTGCATTGAGCGTCTGCCCCCTGGTATTCAGTGCGCATCATAGCAACTGGTCGTTCTGGTCGTTCTCTATAGGCTTTTATATATAGAGATACCTTATTTGTGGTTGCCAACCTTTCAGACCTCACAGACCACCAGTGGTCCATGGACCACTGGTTGGTGACCGCTGCCTTAGATGATGGAAATATTCTACACCTTATGTCAGATTTTGTTAGAAGTCAGATTCCTGTACTATTAATATAGCTTAACTAATTTATGTTGCATTTATGTTTTTGCAGACTGTTCTCTCTGTATAAGAAAATTTTTGTCCTATAAAACACAGTGTCCAACTTGTTGTGTGGTAAGTTGTTCTTTCCTTTTTTGTTTTTTAAAAAACTTATTCAGTGGTGCAAACATTTCTGCTTCATGTGTATGCAGAAGCCCAAGGGAAGATGTGTAAGTATTGAATTGAGCTATAAAAAAGACATTTTGAGAGAAAGGACCTCTAAAACACATATATGGAGAACTGTGCTTTGTTCAAGTTTTTATGGGGACTTCTGATGACCTAAATGTATTTTAGGAGGAAAAACTAATTTTAAGGCCAGAATGTAGCACTCATAAAATGTTAAGACCCATTTTTTTATGGCTTTTCACTTGTTATTATTTCTCACATTGCATAGGAAATCTGATAGTAGGATTATTATTTGCAAGTGACTGGTGTAAGTATTTGTGCAGAAGGCAAAGATTCATGGCCATTGAGCTGAACCCAGCCTAACTGGTCCCTTACGTCTTTCCCAAAACAGACCTTCAGGGACAACACTAGGAAATTTGTTGTTAGTTTTGTTAGTGGTTTCTGAAGCTTTTCAAGTAGTGGAAATAGATGAAAAGGTAGGTTAAAAGGGAAAGTAGACATTAATAGGAGTAAAGAAAGAAGTAAAAGAGACAGTAAAGCCTAACAGCAAGGACACTTGGACTAGTTAAAGGGGCTTGGGTTCTAGTTCCGTTGGGTTCATGGTGTGAGGATGCCATTGAACTCCTCTGAGCTATTATGTAAAAACCCTATGTAAGAAATGATAGTTTGTTTCTCGAGTCTAAGCTTTTACAACATCAGGCACACTGTCTTTGTCAAGATGGTATCATCAGGGAGATGAACTGTATTCCATTTATGCTAAATAACTACTGGATTTACCATTTTCCTCTTGCATTCCTAAAAACCAATCTTGTTTTTAAGAGAGCATCTTTTCTGTTCTTCGGGAGAAATGTTTGGTAAAGCTGAGTGTTGGCATCCTCACTCATATTAAGTTTTACCTTAGTACAGAGTATATATGCTTTGTAGAACTTTTATCAGACTTTCAGTTGGCTGATACTAACTCTGTTTTTAAATACCATATTAGTGTGAGATAAATAAACTTTATTTTGAGGCTTTCCTGGAAGATTTAATGGGATGGGAAGTCTCGGGAGGATGGGTCACACATTTTCAAAAACAAGATCATGACAAGTAAATTATTGTTTATGACTTTTTTCCATCTGTTGTTTTTCTGTTCTAGACAGTCACAGAGCCAGACCTGAAAAATAACCGCTCATTGGATGAACTGGTAAAAAGCTTGAATTTTGCACGGTATGATGTGATTTTGTGACTAACCCCTAACTACTTTCGCCTTTTATGTGTCCCCTCTTTACTCTGCACTTTTGGGGATTAGGGAAGCAGGGTTGCGTATTTGGGGTAAAGTAGGGAGGCAGCAACAGTTATTAATCAAGCATGGACAATTTAATTGTAATGGGATTGTCTCCCTCTACTTAACAGAATCCACCTGTTTTGAAAAACAAGAGTTAAAATGCAGATTTGAGCATGCACTTACTTTTGGGTACTACAAAGATACTCCAGTTCATTTTTTATTTTTCCTGCCCCAGGCCTAGAGTCAGCCATTTCCCAAGGAGCCCTGGTTCCTTTTATTGGAGAATGGTGTTTAGAAATGAGGATCTGGAGTGGGCTGTGCTCATTGTTACTGGGGTGTCATTGCTTCTAGGCCCTCTTCGTGGACAGAGCTGGGCAACATGTGCATGTGTATTTATGTGTTTACTAACCCATGTATACATGTACATCTATAATTGTTTCTGTGTCCATTACATATTAATCTGTTCATTCTTAATCTGATTTTCTTAGCATGTATAAAATGATGTGCCATGTGAAATATGTACTAGCCACTTTATTAAAGTCAGAAATGTAGCTTTTCTTCTTAACTGAAATGCATGATGGTGAAGGTGAGTTTGTTCACCTAAAGGGATATTAAAAGGCATGTTTTACCAAACAGCATCTTGAATTATTTTTAGTTTAAAGCATGCAAGTGAAGTAGGAATTTTTATTAAGAATATACTGTTTAGTTAATGGTAGGTACCCATGTACTTAGTGTATGACTTCCAGGCTTTTGGAGCATTCTTGGATGTATATTACATTGCGTCTAAAAATGTAAAGAGATTTCTTCAGTAGAATTGTACAATGATTGATCCTAAAAAACGATCAAATTTAGTACTCTGCACTTACAAATATGACATTCTAGAAATTGGCTCGTTAGTTATTTCCCTAAGGAAAATCATAAAAAGGTGGTAAGCTTTCCTAGATGAAGAAACTCTGAGATTCTCTGATTCTCATAATCAAAGTTATTGCTTTTTTAATGTTAAAGTCTTTCAGTCAATTTGATTTTGAAGCCTGTGAGAAAAGTTGGAGTCATGTCTTGGAAAGGAATTTTTGAGACAGTATAATTGTATCTCAGGCTTATTTTTTCTCTTTAGCTGTTACTGAAAACATAACAACCTCCCTGCTAAGAAAAAGGGAGTGTTGTGGAAGAGAAGCGATCAGTATCTTTGGGTTCACAGACCTTTTGGTAACTTAAAGGGAGGCCTTGGAATGACTGAACTCTCCCCGTCCTCCCTCCCAAAAGGAATAGGTTATTTAGTTATTCATTACAGTGGTGTGGTGGAGTGGGAAGCATTCTCTGTAGATTTGGGGTGGATTTTATTTACTTCTTTTGTTAGCCTTGGAGTTGCCTTATGGTGAGCATTCCTCTGACATTTGTCATGTCTAAAGCACTGTGGTATCTCATTTGCAAAATTAGGAATGAAATTCAAGCTAATTTTATTACTTATTTAAAATCTGGTTTACAGTGGATGAGGGAAGATGTTTACTTTTATGACAAAATGTAAGATATTTATATTGTTTGTTGATTTTGTTTCTTCCTGTCTTTTCATTGCCATTTTATGACATAATTTTTAAAACTTTAATATTCTAAATGGGATAACAAAAGGGTATTGGAAATAATTCTAGAGGTTTTCAGACACAGGCTGACATGCACATCTTACATTTTCTTCTAACTTTTGCCTTTTATTTTAAAGAACAGTGTTGTTTTTTCTCAACTCAATTTTATTTAAAATAATGGCCTTAAGAAACTGTGTGTTGAACAAAATTTAATTAAGATATGTTTGTTTTAGTGGAATGTCATTCTTGACCTAAGTAAGAAAATACTGTTTCTGTATTTTTGCATAGCAGCCAGTCTACATCTATATCATTATTTTTATGAATTGAGAGAGTAGAGCATAATTTAATACTTTGGTTTATTCACCATTGAGGTATGAATTTTCCTCCATGTATTAACTCCACGTTTAAGAAGTTAAACATTTTAGATTATAACTGTGATAGATAATTCCCTTAGCATCTCACAAAAGTATGTAGAATATAATTTCATCTTTTCTTATGGTGAAATTTAAAGTAGAAGTATATTCCAGTCTTGGCCCTACTAGTTCTAATGTGAATGTGATCGAGATGTTGAACCTTTTTGACCACTGTTCCACATCTGAAAAGTGGGAACAATATTGTTGATACTTTGAGAGATTGTTGTAAGAATTAGAAATGAAGAGTTATACAAAACTAGGGGCCCGGTGCACAAAAATTTGTGCACTCGGGGGGGGGGGGAGGGGGTTCCTCAGCCCGGCCTGTGCCCTCTTGCAGTCTGGGACCACTCGGGAGATAACGACCTGCTGGCTTAGGCCCGCTCCCGGGTGGCAGAGGGCAGGCCCAATCCCTAGGTGCAGCCCCTGGTTGGGCTCAGAGCAGGGCTGATTGGGGAGTTGGGGCGCCGCCCCCTGTCATGCACAGAGCAGGGCCCATCAGGGGGTTGGGGAGCTCCCCTCTGTCACGCACAGAGCAGGGCCCATCAGGGGGTTGGGGAGCTCCCCTCTGTCACGCACAGAGCAGGGCCCATCAGGGGGTTGGGGAGCTCCCCTCTGTCACGCACAGAGCAGGGCCCATCAGGGGGTTGGGGAGCTCCCCTCTGTCACGCACAGAGCAGGGCCCATCAGGGGGTTGGGGAGCTCCCCTCTGTCACGCACAGAGCAGGGCCCATCAGGGGGTTGGGGAGCTCCCCTCTGTCACGCACAGAGCAGGGCCCATCAGGGGGTTGGGGAGCTCCCCTCTGTCACGCACAGAGCAGGGCCCATCAGGGGGTTGGGGAGCTCCCCTCTGTCACGCACAGAGCAGGGCCCATCAGGGGGTTGGGGAGCTCCCCTCTGTCACGCACAGAGCAGGGCCCATCAGGGGGTTGGGGAGCTCCCCTCTGTCACGCACAGAGCAGGGCCCATCAGGGGGTTGGGGAGCTCCCCTCTGTCACGCACAGAGCAGGGCCCATCAGGGGGTTGGGGAGCTCCCCTCTGTCACGCACAGAGCAGGGCCCATCAGGGGGTTGGGGAGCTCCCCTCTGTCACGCACAGAGCAGGGCCCATCAGGGGGTTGGGGAGCTCCCCTCTGTCACGCACAGAGCAGGGCCCATCAGGGGGTTGGGGAGCTCCCCTCTGTCACGCACAGAGCAGGGCCCATCAGGGGGTTGGGGAGCTCCCCTCTGTCACGCACAGAGCAGGGCCCATCAGGGGGTTGGGGAGCTCCCCTCTGTCACGCACAGAGCAGGGCCCATCAGTTTTTTTATTCTGGGCCAGCTTTAGCTCTGGCTCTAGCTCTGAGGCTTCCGCTGCTGGTTCTATAATCGAAACAATGTATAACTTTAGCTCTGAGATCCCGGCCGGCTGAAAGTGTTACAAAGTTTCAAACTGCCAGCTCAGAGGCCGGCAGCGCAGGCGCAGGCGGGGAACGTTGGCTTCCTCCTTCAATGAAGGAAGCAAGCCTCATGTTCGCTTCCAGCTGCCTGGCTGCCAGCCGCCATCTTGGCTGACAGTTAATTTACATATCTCCCTGATTAGCCAATGGGAAGGGTAGCGGTCGTACGCCAATTACCATGTTTCTCTTTTATTAGTGTAGATGATACCCAGGATAGTACCTGGAACAAAGGCACCTACTAACATCCCTATTATTATATATACTAGAGGCCCGATGCAGGAAGATTCGTGCAAGAATGGGCCTTCCTTTCCCTGGCTGCCGGCACCGCCTTCACTCTGGCTGCAGCCACCTTTCTGCCTTCCCATGCTGCCCAGAGGCCCAGAGCAGCTGGGGTGGTGCAGAAAGCCTGCATTGTCACCATGGCAACGACGCAAGCGTCCCGCCCCTGGCCGCTCAGCGCCTGCATATGCAAATTAACCCGCCATCTTTGTTGGGTTAATTTGCATACTCACTCCTGATTGGCTGGTGGGCGTTGCGAAGGTACGATCAAGTTGCATCTTTCTCTTTTATTAGTGTAGATTGTACCTCTGTTAATATAGTGCTATCCTATTACATGTTTATGCCCTAAGGTGCTAATAAGAATTTGTGCTGTGGTAGGCTTCTGCCCATCTAACTAAATAGTTTTAAATTGCTATTTGCATGTTTCAGATCAGAACAGGCACTTGCAGGGAGTTTCACTAGTTACAGAAGTCCATGGGCTTGATTGCATGGATTTTAGGATTGCCCCTGTCCACCCAAAGACCTATTTTGACTCTTGATTCTTTTTAGCTGCATTCTGAAGAGGTAACATTATTGTATAGTTAACAAATGGGCAAGATTTAATTTTCTAAAGTCCATAATTCATCCAAAAAATGTGTGTTTATAATGAATGCCTTTAGGCATTGTAATACCAACTCACTTTAATATGTATTCATCACAGTGATGGAAATTATAGGAAAAATTACCAATTCAATTTAAATCTAAATATCAATTTGGGAATTAATATTTTTACATAGCTCATTTAAAATATTTTTAAAAGCTTTATTGAGATATAATTAACATATAATAAGCTGTACATATTTAAAGTGTACAATTGGGTAAGTCTTGACATTGGTTCCTATGAAATTATCACAACCAAAGTAATGAACCTATCAATCACCCACAAAAGTTTCTATGTACCTCTTTGTGATCCCTCTCTCCTGGCCCTCACAGCTCCATCCCCAAGCAAACACTAATCTGTTGACTATAGTTGCATTTTCTAGGTTTTTATATAAGTAGAATCATATATCATAATTTTATATGTATTACAAGGTATGGGTTCAAGTTGATAATTTTTGCATATAGCTATCCAATTGTTTTAGCAACATTTACTGAAAAGGCTATTCTACTCTTTTTTTTTTTAAATATATATATATTTTGAGGAAGGGAGAGGGAGAGAGAGAGAAACATCAATGATGAGAGAGAATTATTGATCAGCCGCCTCCTGCATGGCCCCCACTGAGGATTGAGCCCACAGCCTGGGCATGTGCCCTCACCTGGAATCAACCATGATCTCCTGGTTCATAGGTTGACACTCAACCATTGAGCCACACCGGCCAGGCTATCCTTCTACTCTTAATTTGCCGAGTGTCTTTGTCATGAGGGGTGTTGAAGTTTTGTCAAGTGCTTTTCTGCATCTATGGAGATGATCATGTGGTGGTTCTCCTTAGTCCTGTCATATTAGTGTGCTGCATGTATACTTTGATTTCCCTATGCATTTCTAGGGTAAATCCCATTTGTTCATAGTGTGTAATCCTTCTTAATGTGCCATCAGATAGGTTTAGTTGTATTTTGTTGAGGATTTTTGTATCAATATTCATAAGGAATATTGGTCTATAGTTTTCTTATGGAATCTTTCTCTGGCTTTGTTATCAGGATACTGCTGGCCTCATAGAATGTTATAGAAAGTGTTCTCTTATTTTTTTTTTGAAGAGTTGAAATAGGGTTGATGTTTTTTAAAACTATTTTATTTTTTTAATTTATTGGGGTGACATTATTTAATAAAATTATATAGGTTTCAGGTGTACCATTCTATAATACATCATCTATATATTACATTGTGTGTTCACCACCCCAAGTCCAGTCTCCTTCCATCATTTTTAAGCTGTGTAAATTGCCATAAATAACCTCATGGTTTTAAATACCACTTGTACATACATGGCTTCCAAATTTATATCTTCAGCTAGATCTCCCCCCAAAACTTTATTCTTATATATCCAACTGCTCATCTCACATCTCACATTGGTCCTCTTGAAAGCAACTCTTGACAGCATGGCCAAAACTAAACTCCAAACTGCCTATGCCACTCCCCAACCCCCACTCCAAATCTGCTGCTCCCACAGTCTTCCTCCTCTCAGTAAATGGCAGCTCCATTCTTTCGTTTGCCCAGGCCAAAAACCTTGGAGTCATCCTTGACCTCTCTCTTTCACATTTATCTGTCATTCCATCAGTAAATCCTGTTGGCTGTGTTTAAAATACTTGCAGAATCTGACAGCTCTTCATCACCTTACCAGTATTCTGCCCATGCCAGCGTCAGCCTAGATTACTGTGATCACTTCCTAGTGATCTGATTTCTTCTTTGCCTTCTTACAGTTCTTCTGAGGACAGCACCATGGTGACCCTTTACAATAAAAAGTCAGGTCACACTCAGTACCATCCAGAGGTGGCTTCCCATCTCATTGGAAGCAAAAGCCTAAGTCCTCAGTGGCAGTTTTCTGCTTCTTACATAATAGGATCCCTCTCTGACTTCATCTCCGACTTCTCCCCCCCACCCCCCTTTTTTTTTAGCTTCAGTCACACTGGCCTTGTTGCTGTTTCTTTTCTTTTTCTTTTTTTTTCTTAAGATACCATTTTTTTTATTTGTTTTTTTTTTTTTGCTAAAAGTATTACAAAGGGTATTACATATGTGTCCTGTTTTTCCCCCCGCCCTTGACCATCCCCTGCCCTCCCTTACCCCCCAGTGTCTTATGTCCATTAGTTATGCTTATATGCATGCATACAAGTCCTTTGGTTGATCTCTTACTCCCCTCCCTCCTGCCCCCCTTGTTGCTGTTTCTCAAACATGATATTCATACTCTGACCCTAGAGACTTTGACTTATTTCTAGGTGAAACAGTTTTCCCAGCTATCCATGTGGTTTAGTCCTCCACTTGCTTTGGACTCTATTTTTCATGGGTCATCTTCTCGGTGAGGTCTTCTGTGACCATCCTGTGGAGTCTGAAGCTCATTTTTCTTCCCATAGCACTTTTCACGTATGTTGGGTGTGTCTATTCTCCTTCCCTTTACTATAGTGTAAGCTTCATGAGGACAGAGACCACTTTGGTATCAATTATATTTCCACCGCCTAGAGACAGGCACATAAAAAAATGAGTGAATTTTAATTTTAGCATGGGGCATAATTTTATCATTGCAGTATTGAAATTAGCAGATTCGTAAAGTAAACTTCATCTCAGTTGCTTGTATCAGTATTCATTATTTTTTATTGCTGAATGGTATTCATTGTGAATAAACATAGTTTCATTATTCATCTATTGATGAATTTGGATTATTACCACTTTTTCACTAGTATGATTAAAAGCTGCCAGGAACATTTGTGAGCAGTCTTTGTATAGGCATCTTTTTTCATTTATTTTAGTTATATATCTAGGAATGAAATTGCTGGCTTACAGGGTAGATGGATATTGAACTTTATAAGAAATTGTCAAACAATGTTCTAATTGGGTTGGGCAACACCCACCAATAGTGTATGGCGTTTCAGTTGCTCCAAATCCTGTTTAATATTTGGTACTGTTAGTCCTTTTAGTTGCAGGTATTCTGTTGTGTGAAATGGTAGCATTGTGGTTTTAATAGCAGACAAAATAAACTTTAAGGCAAAAAGTTTTATGAGATGATAGATATCTCATTGTCGTTTAATTTGCATTTCTCTCATAATACTTTTGCCTTAAAGTCTATTTTGTCTGCTATTAATGTTGCCACATCAGCTTTCTTTTGGTTAGTGTTTTCATGGTACATCTTTTTCCATCTTTTGGGTTTCTTAGGATATGTTGTCAGAAGTGGAATCACTGGATAATAAGGCAGTTCCATTTTTAATTTTTTTGAGGTAACTCTATACTGAGAAGTCAATGATATTTCTTCCTGTTGTTCCCTTATGAATGGCTCTTACCTGAGAGTAATTTTGCCTTTTAGCCCCTCCCCAAGGGACATTTGGTAATGTAAGCATATGCAGGATGTCCTCAAGAAATGTATACACACTTTGAATAATTACAAAGGCAGTATTTATTAAAATACATTTCATTTTCAAAATGTAATAGAATCTACAGACATTGTTTGTATACTTTTTTGGTAGACACCCTGCATTTTGGTTATCTCAACCTGGCTGGGAGGAAGATATGCTACTGACATTTGGTGGGTGCTGTAGTGGCTTCTAAGCTTCCTACAATGCACAGAAAAGTTCCTTACAACAAAAATTGTCTGACTCAAATTGTCAATAGTGCCAAGATTGAGAAGCTGTGTCTTATTTTTTTCTGGTTACTTACAAAATTTCCTCATTACTTTTTATTTTCCAGTGATATGCCTTTTTCCTTCCTGGGATGGATTTTAATTCCCTCTTACAAGACACTATCTTTCTATCCATTTGATTATGTTCTCTTTTTTGTTGAACATATTCATCATAGTTACTTTGATGACATAGTTACTTTTTGAATGACTTCTGGATTTGCTTTCCTTGATTATTGCCTACTTTTCTTGCCTCTTTGCGTGTCTAGTAATTTTTAATTGTATGTTGAACATTGTGGGTGAAAATATAATAGGGGCTGTGAATTATTTTTCCTTTGAAAGATGTTGAATTTTTTGTTCTGATAGGCATTTAAGTTACCAGCTCTTCACTTTTATCCTATGTAGGCCTAGTTTAGTGTTTTGTTAGGTTTGGTCTATTTTAGTTTTACTTATATGTCTAGGGTGTGATCCTTCTTCCTAAGGTGTGGCCTTTGTCGGGTTACAACTGAATGTCTGAGGTCTTACACCGAGGTCTCTCAGCTTTGGCTGGGCTCCAACTCCCAACACGTTTCTAACACTGAACTTTGGAATCTCAGCTTTCCAGCATCTGTGTCCACTGACCTTTGGAACCTCAGCTTCCTGGCATGTTTCCTATAGTGTCTCCTGTTTTCCTCTTATGCTCTGCAGTCTTGGAGATGATCAGGAATTGACAACATTTTCTAAGCAGACTTCTGGGGTTCCCTTTCCATGGCTAACTCCTATCTACAGCCTGTCCCTCCAATCCTAGCCACCTTCCCCTAGACCTGTGGTCTCTGTTCCCTCTACCCAGTGAGATCACTGGTCTATGTTTGACTCGGTTTAATATGCAACTCCCAGGAAATGCTTCCAGGGGACATTCTTGGGGGATATACCTCATGTTTCTCTTCTTGCAGGGATTCTAGCCTTATGTTGATTATAGCCCATGCTTACAAACAGTTGTTTTATATATTTTATCCACATTTTAAAGTTATTTATGAATGGACATTAATTCTCAGACTAGCTATTCTCCATCATCAGAATCTGAAGTCCCTCCATTTTTTTAATAGACAGATTAACTGATTTTTAAAGTTCGATATATTATTTTTTATTTATTTTATTCTAGAAGAAACAATTTGGTTTGGTTGTCATTATGGAGTAAGTTCTATATTTCATAGAAGTAAGTGTTAATTGGGAAAACAGCTTATGTTACTTAACTTACTACACATTACTTGGTATCTTAATTACCCGTTGTGTTTTTTGTGCTTAAAGGAATCATTTGTTGCAGCTTGCCTCAGAGTCACCACCCATTTCTCCTGCTTCCTCCTCTTCAAAGAATATTGCTGCCAAAGCCCATACTCCTGTAGTCTTCAAACAGCCTTTAAAGCAAGGAAGCAGGTTAATGGAGAATTTCTTGATCAGAGAAACTAGTGGTTCTACATCAGAGTTGATAAATGAGAATGGAAGCAAAGTCAACCCTCAAAAGGAGGTGAGCAGTTCTACAAAGACCAAAGAGACACCTTCTTTAGAAAGGACAGCTGCATGTATCGCAGGTGCTAATGTTCCTGAGGCACCCTCTACATCGACTTTGAAACAAGTTACTAAAGGTAGGAAATGATTTTCGCGTGTATTTTCTTACTCAGTGGGAATCCTCTCATCCTGCATTCCAGATGAATCAATAAGCAGCATTTTAGACTCTATCCAGAGCCTAACCACTCTTTGGTTTTGTTAGATAATATTGATAGCTTATATCACTAAAGTGTGACAGCACATGTTTTCTGGACCATGTGTATAATTTGCTTATCTTTTTGATGAGCGGGTCAGCTTGTTTAGCCTATTGTTTCATGTCTGTTCTTGCCAGTGAAGTTTAAAGGACCCTGGGTCTTTAGACATAGCACACACAGTGCAGGCTATTAGTTGTTATTAAATTTAGATTGACATTAGTTTATTAGTAGCAAGTATTTAAAGTTCATAAGGGTATGTGAATTTTACCTGCATTTCCTAGCATACCTTATATTTGGTCCGTCTGTCAATTCACAGTTCTTATGGTAGTGTTTATAGCTTGATAGTTAGTTTTTTTCCTCTAGCAACATTATTTTTTCAAATGAAATCTTACAAGGAACTATAACTTGAAAAAGAGAGAGAAGAGATAAAATAGGCCTTGCTGCCTTAGAGATGTGCTGCTCCATCTGCTCTTCCCCTTCGTCCCTACCTGTTACCCAGAGTGGCTGCTAGGCCCCCAGACACCGCCACACATCGCCACAATCCATGAAACAGTTGGAGAATGATTGTGTTTTCCTAATTTTACAAGCGAGAGCTAAATTAACCAATTTGTAGCCATGGATAAATTGAGCAGTAATTGGCTTAAACCAGTAAATGCTTTGATCTAGCTGCACCATCACCCCTTCACCCTGCCCCCAGCCAAGTGTGTCTTCCTCAGGTGTTATGATTGCTTCGGAGCTAAACATGCAGGAATGCCTCCTAAGAGTTGGGAAAACCTAAGATTAGTTTTATAGTTTGGTCACATCTTGGTAGAAAAGATTTAACCAAAGCATCTTACTAATAAAAGCCTAGGTGGTCCTCAACACTGTCACAAGATGGCTGTGCGCACAGCTGGGCGGGTTCTGGTGGCTGCTCTGCGCAGCTTCCGCCGGGGTTCCCGCGGCCCCTTGCCCGCGGCAGAGGCGGGACTCCCGTCTCTGGCCTACGTCTTTGGGGCAGTCCATTGAGGAGCCCTGGATGGCTGGGCGGGGCCTACCTCTTTGGGGCAATTGATCATGGGGCTCCCACACTGTGAGAGGGCATAGGCCAGGCTGGGTGCATGAATTTTGTGCACCGGGCCGCTAGTTTTCTAATAAACACATTTCCAAACTTTTCTGCAGTATCTTCGTCTAGGCCCAGGATTTGAATTAGGTGACTTTCCACAATTCAGTCATTACCTAGTAACCTGTCTGTTCCACTCCTGTTGGCTGGAGATGTCATTCCTTTTCTCTTCTGCTTTTCTAAGTACACGTTCATGTTGGCATTCTGTTTTCTATCTTAATCTCTGAAAGATGCCATGTTATAATATTTTTCACCATTTTACAAGCAATAAAGTCTTTCTTTCTTTAAAAAAAAAATACAGTGGAATGTCCTGTGTGCGGGGTTGGTATTCTAGAAGATCACATCAATAAGCACTTGGACAGCTGTTTATCCCGTGAAGAGAAGAAGGAGAGCCTCAGAAGGTAAGAAAGTTAAGCATAACCATTGAGCCGCTTTAGCTGGGTGCTTCATGTGCTTTATAAATTTGGGGCAGAAAATATAATGTTCATTGTATCCTAGTGACCAGTTGTCCAAGTCCCTCTCCCATATGCTCTTTCCTTTACTTCTGTCAGTTGACGCTTCCATTCCCTTTGCCAAATAGGATTAACTATTGAATTTAACTGCTAATAAAATTTGACTTAATAAGAAATTAGTGACTTAGGATTAAATTTTATTTTAACTTGTTTTCTTCCCTTAGAACTTTATTTTTTCTCTATATATTTTATTGATTTTTTACGGAGAGGAAAGGAGAGGGATAGAGAGTTAGAAACATCAATCAGCTGCCTCCTGCACACCCCCTATTGGGGATGTGCCCGCAACCAAGGTACATGCCCTTGACCGGAACCGAACCCGGGACCCTTCAGTCCGCAGGCCGACGCTCTATCCACTGAGCCAAACCAGTTAGGGCATTCTTCCCTTAGAACTTTAGAACTACCATAAAGCCCCTTAGCCAAAGAAAGCAAGGTTAGACTCTGAATATAGAACATATAAAATCTTTCTTTGGTTCTTAGGATGCTCGTAAGTTTTATAATTTAAAAAAAAAGTTTCAAAAACTTTTTTCCAAATAGGCAATTATCTATATATAACATTAAAAGGCACAAAAGGGTATGTGTGAAATGGAATGTTCTCCTGCCCCAGCCCCCAACCACCAGGGGGCATAGGTAGTAAGTAGTCAACTCATTGTTTGTACCCAAACTTCTGTTTTGCCTCCTTCATATATCAAAGTTACAGTAATTTATTGATGTAGGCCATTGTTGTTATGCATACAAATTGTTTGGGAATGAAATTTTAGTGAAAGATATATTTCAGGGTGTTAGGGAATCAGAGGTTAATGAAGATGATAAGCAGAAGCTGCAAAGTAGAGGAGTCTGGTGATGAAGGAAAGAAGAGAGATGAGATGATAGTCTGGGAAAGGAGTATGTAAACATCAAGATCAAGGAAGATTTTATTTTTTAAAATAGAAATTGGTTAAACTTTCAGTCTCTCTTTTTCCACTGTCTCCAGGGGAGAGATCAGATGATAGATGGCACAAGATTGGGGTCATAAGAGATGAAGAGTCCAGTCATGAAGTTGTCCTTGATGTGTAGAAAGAATTCTTCTGAAGCGGGGGAGGGGGGGCAGTAGGTGATAATTCAGAGAGATTTGGAAAAGGAGATGAGGGGAACTGAAGAAATTGATGGTATCTGGGAGTGGGGTGAATAGAATGATTGGCTCTTACTGTTTGGTCTGTTTTGAAGGACTTGGAAGAGTATTTTCCAAAAACCATGTTAATAAGGCAGGACCTTTTACTGTTTTATTGTGATTAAAGATAAAATGGTGTCACAATTTTTATGAGTAAATATGGAATGAAGTCAGATTCCAGGGGACAAACTCATGCCATTATAACTTACAAAAGGTATTAATTTACAGTGGAGGCATTAATTGACAGTTCTTATTGTGTTTTTAGTTTGAGAGTTGATAGCACTTTTTTCAAGTGAAATCTTACTGTGACCTAAAACATATAAAATAGATAAAATTGGCTGTGCTGCATTTAAGGAGAGATGGGGGGCCTGGGGGTTGTGCTGCTTCACCTGACCTCCCCCTTCGTCCCTGCCTCTCATCCATGGTGGCCTCTAGGCCCCCAGGTGCCGCCACAAATTCCTACGCAGTCTTGTGTGCACAGCACTCCCTCCTAGTGGGAAAATTTGTTGACGAGAATAAAATTTAGATTTTTTTTCAGGTTACTATGTTAGTTGAGGTTTGGAATAAATGAAGCTGGGTCATCCCAAGGATTATTTCCCATAAGCCATGAGAACCTGATGACCTGCATTTCTCTTTAGAAATGTTTCTTCCTAAAGAAAGAGTTGGGAATATAGAGGCTGAGCATTTTCTCCTTGAAAAGTTAGGAATCAACACTGATACCTTGCTTAGACTGCTGTTTTACTAGATGCATCCATCATATTTCTTCTAACGCATTTAACTCTTTCAATTAATCCAAAGACATATGCACCCATGTATAATTAAGTTCAAGTTCCATTGGTTGTTCCAACCCTGCTCCATGGGATGCTATAGTCCTGCCAGTTGCTCTGTTGTGCAGCTGAGAAGCACCGCAAACCCAATCTCTCCCTCAGGACGACTATACAAGTTAGTGTATTGAAGGCTCTGAGAAGTCCTACGTTAAACGTCATTGTTGGATTTTTCTTTAATCCAGTACCTTCTAAATTTATTTCACTCCCAAACCTATTTGTCCTCATAACTCATATCTTGTGAAACTAGTGTTTGTGAAGATGCACTTAGGGAAACATTGAGCCACATTTCTCTTTAAAGAAGTTACATCTTGGTCCTGGGGTCTGTTCACATTAAAGAGTCTCTGACATGTAAAAATTCTTCTCCACAACACCCTGACAGGCCGTTCCTCGATGTGGATGCCCACCCTTATCCATTCTGTGTAGATTCATATCAGAGTTGATTCAAAGAATGCTCTTTCTTTTGATGTCTTCAGATTCTCAGGACTCTTAGTGTGTTATTCCGTTTCACTAAATCATGGAAGAAGGATCAATGTCATTTTCATGTTTTGGGAAACATTTATCAGGCTTTAGATTTAACATCCTTGGTAGAAATGGTTGATTTCTGCTGGCGCTTTTCATTGCAAATGCCAGCAAACAGTACAGTTTTTCATTAGAATTTCATAGTCTTAAGTTAATCATCTATCCTTGATAAAGTAAGTATTTTAAATATACAGACTTAGTGAGTTGTTCTTCATAATGTGCTTGTATAAACTCATACAGAATGTTTCAGCTCTGACTGCCTACTGAAGTTTTATTTAGCTATAATTGTATCAGTCTCATTGAGTTCAATAGGCTGTCTGTTATAACAAATGCAATTTTCAGAAAAAAATGTAATCTGTTGAAGGTTTACAGGTCTTTCTGCAGTTAAATAGTTATCTCTGGCTTTTAGACTTTATTAGAATATAAAAGAAATAATTTATCCAGGGAATAATTTAGTAGAGAAATGTCTATTTTCAGTCTATATATAACTGTACCATATCTCTCATTATCTTCTTTACTATTTGGATCAGTTTTACCCTGTGAAACCTTATTAATATAGATTTACGTCTCCACTTTAGGACCAAGTGAGTTGGGGGTGGTGTGGAGAAGTGACAGAATCTGCATTCTAAATAAGCTCTTCGGGGAGGCTGTGAGATACACTCGAATTTGGGTAGCATGGCCTTTTGTTAATAGGTATATGGAAGTCCTTTGTATAATTTTGTGGGTTTTTTTTAAAATAAACCTATTGCTTTCAACTTCCTATTAATTTTTTCCTGAACCTTTGATAGTCTTGTTTAAAATGATTTGTACCGACTGCCTGGAATACATATTTATTAAGCATCTGAAAGCCATAGTGTTGAGTGAGGTGGGTGATGCACTCGGAGAAACAGATTGCAATCAGATTAAAACTCATTAACTTGTTCATGTTTATAAAATTGCCTCAAGTTATTGTTACCCATAGGCAGCTTAACTTCCATTCCATTTTAACAAATAATGTTTATTAACAGGTATTTTGGAGGGAGTAAAATAAAGTCATTTTATAGGGCTTTGTTATATTTAAAATTGTATCTTAGTGCTGATCAGTATATTAATTATGAAAAAAGAATGAAGAGCCAGGTGGTGATTTTGCTAATACACTTCTTGTAATGCCTTATATATTTGTTAGTATAATTAACGTAAGTTGAAGAGAATAAACCCCTGTTGTGGTTTTTGCTGTTGTTTTCAATTGTGTTCTTTTAAGATGATACTACAAGAATATCATCTACCTGTCAATTTTCTGAATTCTCTTTTCATTAGTGGTAATGAGTTGGGTAAAGCTAATCGTCCCAACAGGTGTTCTTTTATTTCATCTACTGCTTTTGCAATATGATTGCCTTGGGTTTGAGGGGCATTTTTGCCTGTGGATCAAAACTTCTTCTAAAGAAGCTGTCTTCTATAATAATAAAAGCGTAATATGCTAATTAGACCAGACCAGACCAAGCCGTGGCAGGCGGGGGGCTGAGGCAGAGGCAGCTGCTGCAGTGGTGGGGGCTGAGCCCCTTGCATGAATTTCATGCTGGAGCCTCTAGTATATGATAATAATGTTAAATCCATAGCTTAATACTCAATAGCATTTGTACTCTAATCATCTGATATAACTGGCTTTTATAGGGCTTTTGCATGGAAACCATAGGCACATTTTAGGAAAAGCATGCTTTAAAGAGATAGAGAATTGCATAAGTCTATGTAAGTGTGGTTCTTGGTGAAGTTCTCATAGCATTTAGTTCACAAGCCTTCTATGTGAGGCCCAGGTCTACATCTTTAGGACTGACCTCTTTCTGAGACCTAAGTTTCTCTAAGTTTGCTGTCACCTAGACCCCTCAATCTGAATGTCCCACTGGCACCTCAGATGGGTCATGTTGAACACTTTTAACTTTATTTGTAAATTTCATTCCCCCCCCCCCATTTTTATCTTAATGATCGTGTTCTCTCAGTCAACTGGTATTGAGTCAGAAGGTAAATTACTATTTTACATGAAAAGCATTTGATGATTCACAATAACCCTTAGTGATCTTTTTTTTCCCCTTTTTAGTTCTGGTCACAAAAGGAAGCCGCTGCCCAAAACTGTATATAATTTGCTATCAGATCGTGATTTAAAGAAAAAGCTAAAACAGCATGGATTATCTATTCAAGGAAATAAACAACAGCTCATTAAAAGGCACCAAGAATTTGTTCACATGTATAATGCCCAGTGTGATGCTTTGCATCCTAAATCAGGTAAAGCAATAAAACAATGAGTTATGCGTGTCCTGGATAAAGCCGTTTGTGTAGCTCAGGGATTATAACCATAGAAAACACTTTTGAATAGGTACATTTTTGAAAATAGGTAAGACATGCAAATGCATTCCTTCAGAAGGTACCAGATATACTATGATAGCCATTCTCGGTCCCCATTCCCTTCTCAGAAGCAGTTACTGCTGCCAGTGGCTTATGTGTCTTTCCAGAGAGAGTGTGGGGTAGAGTTGATCTAGAGAACCTGGGTTATAGTCCCATCTTTGCAGCTCTAAGACTGTGTGACTTTGGGCAAGTGCCTTAAGTTCCTTATCTCAGTTTTCGTATCCATAAAATAAGGGTTATGACACTACCTACTTCATAGTGTTTTTGAGAGGAATAGATTAAAAAAATGCATATAAAATGCCTAGCATAGTGCCTTAGCAAGTAGTTAGTGTTCAATAAATGTTACCATTATGATTATTATAGGTAAACATATGTCCTTGATCATTATTGTCTTATAAAATTGTTAGTATTTTATAGTCAGACGCCACAGAACATTTTGGTTAATGATGGGTCACAGATAGGACAGTAGTTTCTTAAGATTGTAATGGAGGTGAAAAATTCCTATGGCCTAGTGATGTTGTAGTTGTTGAAATGTCATGTTATGACCTCATAATGTAATGCATTACACAAATACTTACCATTATGTTATAATTGCCTAGTAACATGCACAGGCTTGTAGCGTAAGAGCAATAGGCTATATCATTTAGCCTAGGTGTGCAGCAGACTTTACCATCTAGGTTTGTGTAAGTGCACTCTGTGATATTTGCACAACAAAATCGCCTAATGGCACATTTCTCACAGCGTATCCTTATTAAGCAGTGCATGACTATTTAATATTAAGCCGTACACACTATTTAATCATTTGTTCCTTTCACTTAACCACACACATATTTCAATTAAAAAAAATTAAAGTATACTATGCGAACAGAAAAATACACAAATTATAAGTATATTGTTTGGTGAATTATTATGAAATAAGTTTCACAAAGGGCAAATGTCTTTGTATACTACTCAGATTACCATCAACATCCAGAAGCCCCTGTCCTCCCCTCCCAATTACTGTCACCTTCGTTCTCACAGATGATCACTATCTTGACCACTATATATTTATTTTGCCTGTTTTAGCTTATAATTTATCTTTATAAATGGAATAATAGATAGCTTATATAAATTATTTGAATCTGTATTTGCACACACATGTAAAATATGTGTGTGCAACATTATGTTTATAAGTTTCATTCATGTTTTTGTGTACATTTGTGATTTTGTTGTTGCTGTAGAGTATTCTACTGTACCTCACTATCCATTCAATGGTTGATGGACATTTGGATTTTTCCACTCTTTGGCTCATCAAAATTATGCTGCTATGAATAATCTTTGTGTATCTCTGTATATTCAGGCACACAAATTTTTTGAATATATATACCTACGAATGGAATAGTATGTTTTTGCAGATGTTTAGCTTTTGTGGATACAGCCAAGAACTCAGTGCCAATGTACATTGTCATCAGGAGGATGTGAGAGTTCCAGTTTTTCCACATTCTTAACAACATTAGTATAGTCAATTTTCCATTTTGGCTCTTCTAATGGATCCATTTGAATCTTTCATTATGGTTTTAATTCACATTTCCCTAATGATTTATAATGTTCAGTACATTTTTATATGGTTATTGGCCATCTGGATATCCTCTTTGGTAAAATATCCATTTAGGTCTTAATGGCCAATTTTTCTATGCTGTGGATCTATTTTTTCTTATTTGTGGGAGTACATGAAATTTTCTGGATATACATCTTGCTGGATGTATATATATATATTAAATCTCTTCTTCCATTTCGCTTTTTCATTGTTAATGGTTTCGGTTGAGAAGAAGTTCTTAGTTTCAATATAATCCAATTAGTTGCATTTTTCTTTTTGGTGTATGCTTTTTATATCCTTGCCTACCACAAGATCATGAGGATCTTCTCTTGTTTTCTTCTAAAAGTTTTATTGTTACTGCTTTTACATTTTGACCTACAGTTTATCTGAAATGATTTTAGCATATGTTGTTAATTACAGAGCGAGATTCTTTTGTGTGTGTTTTTTCTGTATAGATAGCCATTTGACACAGCATCATTTATTGAAAAACCATTCTTTCCCCAGTGAATTGTCAGTATGTTTTCGTTGACAATCAGCTAACTATACGTGTGTCTGGACATTGTTTATTGAGTGATTTATTTATCAGCAGTGTACTGTCTTAATTTTAATTTATAATAGATCTTGCTGTCTGGTAATGTACTTCCTCCAGCTTTGCTGTTTATTGAGATTGCCTCAGTTTTTCTAGGCCCTTTGCATTTTCATATAAATTTTAGAAGAAGCTTGCAAATTTCCATCAAGAAAAAACCTGCTTGGGTTGGGATTACATTGAGTCTATAGATCACTTTGGGGAAAGTTGATAGCTATACAGTATCTTCCAATTCATGAATTTAGTTTATCTTCAACCAACCGAGGCACCTGGCCAGGACATTATGTGTGTATTTTAAAAATTGAGGTATAACTTACTTACGTAATTAATCATTTTAAAGTGTATAGTTTAATAAATTATGACAAATGTATATATAGTCATTTAGCCATCACTTCAGTTAAAACTATGCACCCCCAAAAGTTCTTCTGCCTCTTTGCAGTAAATTTCCTCTCCCTTACCCTAGATCCTGGGAAATACTGATTCTTTTATGTCCCTGAAGTTTTGCCTTTTCTAAAATGCCAGATAAATGGCATTAATACAAATGGTACAGCATATCGTTTTTGTATCTGGCTTCTTTCACTCAGCACAGTGCTTTTGAGGTTTGTCCCGGTGTTGCATTTATTGTATGGCTGTATTGCATATTAATAGATGCCTAGTCTGTCTCCAATTTTTGGCTGTTATGAGTAAAGCTGTCATGAACATGGGCTTACAGATTTTTGCATTTCTCTGTGATAAATACCCAGGAGTAGAATTGCTGCGTCATGTGGGTTATATATACTTAAATATATAAGAAATTGCCAGCCTGTTTTTAATGGCTACATCATTTTATCTTCTGTGAGAGGTCCATTAGCTCTTTTCAGCCTTTAACTTGTTTTTAGGACTGAGTGGCAACTTCCAGGCTTTTTACAAGCAGAGCTGGAAACTGGAAGTTCATTTCATTTAAATGAAATCATAAAATAGTTGGCTTTTCTGTGACTGACTTCTTTCACTTAATATATTTTCAAGGTTTTTCCATGGTCAGTACCTCATTTTTTCTTTTTATTGCTGAATAATATTTCATTGTATGGATATGCCACATTTTTTGCCCATTCATCAATTGATTGACATTTGGGATTTTTCCACATTTTGGCTGTTATGACTAATCCTGCTGTGAACATTCTTGTACACGCTTTTATGTGGACATATGTTTATATTTCTCTTGAATACGTACCTAGGAGTGAAATTGCTGGGTCAATTGGTAAAACTCTGAACATTTTGAGGAATTGCCAGTCTGTTTTCCAGTGTGGCCACAACATTTTACATCCCGATAGTAGTGGGTGAGGGTTCCAGTTTCTTTACATCGTTGCTACTACTTGTTATTCCGGTTTCAGCAATGGACTCAAAAATGGCCTTTGTAGATTTTCTTCCCCTCCAGTGCATGATCTGGTTTTGGATCACATACTGCATTCAGTTGTAATATCTTTTCAATCTTTTTCAATTTGGAACAGCCTTTCTTTGTCTTTTTATGACACTGGCATTTTACTAGTAAAAGAATATAGTCTTTGTGTTTTGTTTTTCTCCCTCAAATAAACTGTTTCTCATTTTGACTTTGTCTAATATCTATACTAATAAAAGGGTAATATGCTAATTAGGCCAGACGTCTTCCGGATATCCATTTGGACAAAGCTGCAGCAGCTACGAAGTGGAGGCAGCGCTGCTGTGGGAGTGGGAGTGGAGCCGGTGGTGCTGCCCCTTTCACAGAGGCGGCGCAGGAGAGGCCCGTGCGCGGGCCGTTCCAGTGCCTGGATCCCTTCTGCAGAGGCAGCAGGAGAGGGGGCTGCAGTCTGGGTCTCAGTGCTGCCCCTTCCACAGAGGCAGCGACACAGGCCCGGTCCCAGGGCTGTGCCTCTGCAGAGGCTGGACGGGGTGTGACCTGCTGTGCCTCAACCTCTCACAGCCCCTCCCCCAGCCGGCCTGGCCCCAGATTGCTCCCCACCCACCAGTGGGCAGGGGGCGGGGCCAGTGCTAAGAAGCGAGGGCCCAGGGCCGGCAGCCGCAGAAGCCGGCAGTGGCAGTGGCCAGCAGTGGCAGCAGCAGTGGGATGATGGGGGCAAAGCCTTCCCATGATTGGCCCAGTCACCTCCCACAAAGGGAGGCCAGACTGTGGCTTAGGCCCACTGTCAGTAGGACATCCCCTGAGGGCTCCCAGACTGTGAGAAGGGGCAGGCCGGGCTGAGGGACCTCCCCTCCAATGCACGAATTTTTGTGCACCGGGCCTCTAGTTTTCTTATAATAACATTCAGGTTGCACATTCCTGAATGTTGATGAACTGCTGGCTACTCCTTCCTGTATTTGATTGGTCTCAATACTCTATGAACACAATATAAGTAATGTTCTGTCCTTTTCAGAACATCAGTAACAGCCAGAGATATTCAACATCTTTGTGCCCCTCAATGTGATTGCAGGTTTGATCACCTTGTCAATTTCTCCATTGTATAGTCTCCCCCTTGATACTAATAAGAAGTCTGTATAATAACATTTTAATACCATAAAAATATTCTATATATCATTAAAATATTACCCCAGTATTTAGCATTCATTGGTAATTTTATTTTCTCTGATAGTTGCAAAATGATCATTTTCTAACGTCAGCATTCCTTTCACATTTGCCAGTTGCCACTTGCCATGATTCTGAAAATAAGAGCCCTCTTGTTTTTTTTTCTTAGTCTATAATCAGTG